CCTCTGCCAATTGTACCCTAGTTATAGGTAAATGACCTTTTAGTCTAATTTAAGGTACAGCCACAAACTCTGATAAACATGTCTGTACCACTGGGGGTATATTAATGTTTGTACCTTGGGGAACAAAACTGTACCAGGGTTCTAACCCTTTTTTCTGACAGTGTAGGGGGAGGCATTTTCAATGACAACACATCAACCCAACATTTGGCCATTTAAGCACAAACTGATGAACTCACATTGCAAACCAGGTAAACTCCTAAAACGGTTAAAGACATTAATACTAAATATGACAGGGGAAAATACAATTAACTGAGACATCTTATGGCAATGACTTTGACGTTTCTCCATTAGCGCATGGAGAGAAGCCAGAAGTGAGGCTGGATTTGCACACCCTCTCCAGCCCCACCTCCCACCAAATGCAGAGTCTGGAGATCCCAATGGCGCGAGTGCCAACTTCTTTTTTGTCCCGTGTAAGGAGAGGCCGCTTGGGAATGTCGAGATTTCCTTCGCTGATGCCAGAGGCACAATTGCAGGAAGAAGTTACAGGACCAAGGAGAGGGAAGAGGTGGGTCCAGGGGTCAGCAATGAGAGAATAACTATACGGCCTGCAACTAACTATCAGTGCGTCACCCACAACGTTTATAAGCCTATCATTATTATTTGGCTGGTGGTGAACAAACTGTAGTTAAGAGACCTGTAATAGACAAAGGTCTCTGAATGACTGTGGGACTGTAGCCAAATTCCTATTGGTTCACAGCAGATGGAAACAACCAATCACAGGACAAAGCTCCCTTGAGAAGCCAAGCACCCACTACTGAAGGGGTGCGAATACTGACAATGCAACAATAAAGTACTAGAATACCTCACACAGCTGCTCTTCCAAGAGTTTGCCCATCTCAGCTTGATGTTAAGTGCAGCTGGAACACCAGTGTTTCTATGCTCTGGACTACAGAGGAGAAATGGCCAAGTTGCTCGCAGCAGGGGATCTAAGACAGTGTGACCAGCAATGGTGCTTGGGCAAAATAAGCTGGGGGAAATGGAGGAAGGAAAAAGCAACCGCAACAAGCCACCTATCATAGATCTGTCAGCATCTTGCCACAGGCACCAATGTCCTCCTGTCACAGGCCACCTCCACAGGGTGCGGTTCAGTGACAAGCTGGATGAGGGCTACTCCTGGATCACTTAGTCCTGCTGATAAGGTTTGCCGGCAGCCTGAGAGGACAGTGCCTGGAAGCCCATATCCAGCCTTGTGCAAAGCCTCCAGCTCCAAACATTGTACAACAAGGTCTAGTCTTTAAATGGTACAATGATGTCAGGTGGCCGTTTCGCTTCGTGCAAACATATCTAATCCAAAACTAAGAATTCACTATAAGCAGAATTTGTCTTTATGGCACAGGAGACCTAATGACCAGGAAGATGCAGATCCATCATCCAGATAAGCCAATGAAGAAAACCTTACACTATAAATAAACTGTATGAATGCATGACCGTTTCGGGCTGATACTGGAGACTGAAGCATAGCATTACAAAACAAAAAGACAAAAACACAAACAATATTTGACTAGTCTCGTGAAGTCAGGCAAATGAGAACCTGGAGAGCACAGACCTAAACACGCAAGCACTCTCTCACAGAACACAGACTCACTCATTCGTTCATGCTTAACTGACAACAGGAATTCAAGAAATTACATTGAGCAGGGGAAAGTAGAGGCAACCAGCTCTGGAGGAAGCAAACTCAGTCATTTCCTCTGAAATAACTTAACAGCCTGAAATACAAGCATAGGGGCGTTTCCACGCATGCGAGACCATTTAAGTGTCTCTTTGGTTTGTGTCTGAGAGGACATGATGGCACTCAGACAGTAATGACTTTTCTGAGCACTGCCCACTCTCCTTGCCACTACCTCTGACTGCCACCCCACCTGCTCTCTGGCTTGGAGTAACAGTTACCCAGGGACCACCTGGATAAACTGCTGCCACCCTACACCTTTTCCAGCAGTTCCTAGTTGGTCTCCCATCCAAGTACTGGCCAGGCCCAAACCTACTTAGCTTCAGGTGGAGTACCTAGCCCGAATTGCAGGTGGAATGGCTGCTGGAGAGGCTGTTGAACATTCCTTTGCGCACCGCTCATCTTTATCCTACCATGTTGACTCAGGATAACTAGCAACGTCAACAAGTCACTAGTAGACCAAGCTTTGGGGCGATGGGTCAGGCCAGGGGATACTTTAACAAAATTCCTCATTTATCACGTGTACATTGGTATTTGCTGACCAGGTTACGCAACTAGGCTGCAGCGATAACGTTGTCCCTGTTGCCCAGCCCTTACTGCCTCAACGTCTACTCTGCAGCAGCTGTCACTCCAGGCAAAACAGCTCGTGCAAGGGACACCACTAAAGCTGAGGCATTTGGGGCAAATGGCTGCTTTGGGTTGTAGGACACAGTGTAGGTGGCCTTCTTAAGAGGAATATTCTTGGGAGAAAACTTAGAAGCTGGACTGTTAAAGGGCAAGGGTCCTATGATTACCTAAACACCATCCTGGGGTCATGATATTTCTAGTGTGTGTTCACTGCTAAATCATAAATCACTTAACTGCAGTTATCGCTCCACTAAATTACTGTGGCCATTCTTGATTGTCCCCAACGTGCTTTCAAATCCCTCAATTCTTCACATTTAATCAACATCTCCACTTCAACAGTTAATCATTCGACTCTGCGTGCCTCTAAACTGTAAAATCAAACGTTACTGCTTGCTACCATGTAACGCCTGGGAGATGATGGACACATGACAAACGGTGTTTACACCTACCCTAGCTGTGTTATTAAAGGACCATTAGGACATGTACAACGTCGTGAACACAATCCCTTTGTTACATGTGTACACAAACCCTGTGACCCATTCACAGGCAAGCTTAGTAAGTAGAACCAGAGCTAATACATAAATAAGAGCTAACTGCAGGTAATCCCACATGCTTCATGACAGTCCCTAGACATTAGTGAGTTTGGTTTGGGGGAGGGGGGTATTTCCTCCCTCTTGGATAACTTACCTCCCAACAAGAGAGATAAGAACAGAGGGGGACTTTATGTCACTTTGTATGTAAATACTTACAGTACCACGAAAACCACAATCTGACTAGGTAGGCCTTTAAAACAAGATGAGAAGAGGAAAAGTATGTGTCCATTCTTTCGCCCGTGCCAGAAATAGTTAACTGTTAACCATCAGGAATGCAGCAGAACTACGGTTGAAAGCCCACCATTGGGCCGCTGGGGGGGATCCACAGGCACAGCAAAGCAAGGGTTCCCCTACATCGCACAAGTGCATCAATGGCACCGATTTAAGAAGCTGGGGAAAGGATTACATAGCAAAAGGCACCACCGCATTTTGCATGAACGGTCCAAAGCAATAAAGGCAACTAAATGGGAAGCAGACACACAACAAAAAAAAAGACTTGTTCCTCGCAATGTGTAACGACAGAGGCCTCAAGATTACTGCCACATGTGTTAAGTGATTTACACATATCCAGTTCCCAGAGGCGTTAAAATGCGGGGTCTGGCCGACGGTGCTGATATCACACTCAACCGTATCTATAAACCATGCTCCTGATGATGATGATGATTTCTATTATGATTTTAATGATTTCGTTTGCGGCGCCATCGCCAAAACACAAGCTCACAATCAACATTTAGCCCATAAGGCGTTAAAATGCGTCTGGGATTACGGCCGACAAATGGCAGCGTGCGGTTCAACCACAACAAACGCACGGGGAGCACGTATTTTATTAAACGTTAACTTGGTATCAAATCCGTTCCGGTTTTATGCCATACATCACTTAAGTTGATAAAACTCTAGTTGTAAAAAAAAAAACACGAAATATTTTATAAAAATCCTTCAAATCAAAGTGCGTCGGGGTAAAACACCGCCACACTAAAAATATCTCTCCTTTTCACTGACGTTCCATTCCGATCACATCAACCACCATTAACACTTCGCCAATCATTCAAGCTACAGGGTAAGAGAAGCGAAATGACACCTTTAAACCAGCAGCTCAGAGCCAGATGAGGCATTAAATGTTGCAATCCGTTTATTTCTATAAATCCAAATGTCTCTATCTTCATACCGTAAAATTCAAAAGGACTAAGTGACATTTAGGTGTATACATACATGTAGACATAAAGCCATATGCCAGCAAGAATGCAAAAACAACGTGCGTTTGTTCTCTTTACGTTTTAATACTAAAACAAAACTTTGAAAATGTTCATTTTTTACACTGCCGAATCTCTCGTCATTTAATAATATCAATTTCTGGTTTTGAAAGCAACACAATAGAACACATCTGCAGGAGCTGGCAGAAACCTGAGAAGTATTCAACAAAAGCGCCGGTCTGATCAGACCAAAACTCCTTCCGTGAGAAAATAAAACGCAGATCTGCTACAAAATTCAGCGCGTTAAATTGGTCTAGTTTTTGATCTGGGACCAGCAATGCAACTACCCTGTAAACACTTTGACAGACATTTTAACTTCGGCCGGTCATTCTCTGACTGCACGGTCTACGATTCGGTGGGGAAACCGGAACAGAAGTAACCAGTTAAAGTAGCAAAAACACGGCAGTGGGGCTTCGGCCGCCGCGTTCGCGGATAGCGCGCCGTCCCGTTCATCGCCGTCGGGAAAGCGCTGTAATGAACTCTCACAATTTCAGTAACATCAACATTTCAGGAAATAATCGAACGGAAGCCTGAGGCTGCGTGTGACAAAACACGAATACCTGTTTACACGAGTAAGAGCACGAGTTACGGCCATCCGGAGCCCCATCCGGGCTGAGACCGGTCTGCCTGCCCGGCCGGGTAACGTTAGCATCATGCTAACGCTGCGGAGCCATGACTCGCAGTACAGACGCTGAGCAGCGCACACTCCCTCTCCGACAGCACAGAGTATGTTTCCCGCTCAATAAAAAAGGAGAAAAAGGAAAGGGAACCCCCACAAAGACATAAAAATAGATAGTTATGTACCTGTAACTCGGCCCGCTCCACCTCCCACTGCGCCCTCTCCACCTCGAAACGGGCCCATTCGTGTTGCAGGAAGTGCAAGATCCCGGGGATACTGTACTGAGCCCTGACGGCCTCGCCACCGTCGCCTTCGGCCAGAGATCCCTTTCCACCACCCGGCAAAACCGGGTTATTATTATTGTTGAAAAAGACGCCCGGCCCCGCCTGTTCATCCATGACCAGGTATAAGGGGGTCGGATCTAGGACAGCCGGCAGAACTTCTCTGTCGGGGGATCCTCTCCGCCGCCTGTGAGCTGACTGCGATCTCCGCCGTTACACCATGAAAAAAACAAAAATACCAGCGCTCTCATCGCAAGCGATCTCCTTTCTGACAGCTAGCTGTCAATCAATGACGCAGACCTCCGGTTAACGCCCACGGCCTGCAGAAAAGCATGACGGGATTTGTTGTTTTCGTGAAATATGTTGCATGCTGGTAGTGCCAGATGTGATATTTAATCATATTTGAAATATACGACGTTCTTAAAGTACCATATTAAAGACTCAAGTTAGCTTACCATAAAAAAGCAACAGGGAGTACAGTTAGAGAAACTGTTCATTATTATTCTCCAGTGGTAAGAAAGACTTTTTTTCTGCAGTCTTGAGTATCAGTATCTTATTTATATCCTGTGCCTATAAAAAGAAGACAGTTGTCTAAAGCCGGCCATCAGAGTATAATTATTCAATCAGTGTTGAAGGACAGCTTAGCTTCGCAGATTCTACCAGTCAGCGGTTGTTTTATGTTCATGCGGGAGCGCAGAGGGGATCCTGATGTAAACTAGATACACCTTAGAGCGGCTGTTACAAATTATTAGTGTATATAGGCCTATATTCCTCACTGACAGCCGAAGGCATAGGAAATGCGCACTTGTTAAAGGGGCTGTATTTTGGACGTTTCTTTTTATGGATAAGTGGTAATGTATTTTTTCCTTTAATATCATTTCGTTTTATACTTTTATTTTTATTATTCATTTGTGAATGAATCAATTGATGGGGGCTTTCATAGCACAGGAATGATCTTGGTGTGACAGAGCAGTTTCTTTCCCCTGGAAAAGGCTGTTTATGAACTTTGTCTGATCAGAGAAGGGATCGAGCTCTGAAATAGTGCAGACTGTGGGAAATATCTGTTCCTGGCATCTCCATCAGGACGAACTGAAAGTCCTGTGTGCTCGTCGGCAGGACTTTCTGGGTACGGGAAAAGCGCTGTCCTGTTGCTGAATAATGTTGTAAAGTCACTGCCTTTTATTGCTGTCTCAGTCACAGTCATGCAGCCAGCTATTCCAACCACCAGGCAAGTGATGATCTCATTTAGTAAAATTCCAGTGTTATGCCAGCATGCTTTGTTTATGACAGAGCAGCAGATTCACTACAGATTTTACTGGCATTAAGTCTCATTGACCACTAGTATCATTTGTAGGAACGTGAAAATATAATGGAACATAACGAAGGAATGGGAGATCTGTCTCAGGGTGTTGTTCAGCAGAGTGAAGCCTCGTTATGATTTCTCATCAGGTTTGTTATGAACTTGTACTACAGTCGAGCAAACATTCTTTCACTGGAAAAAGCACCAGTTTTTACTCCAGACAAGAAATTCAGAAATAGAGACTCCGTTAGCTCAGCGAAACTCATTTTATTCCAGATGTTGCCCTATGGATTTGGTAGCTGCCATCTCTGCATATTACCCCTATTAAAATGGGCCCACAAGGCCTGAATTCACTATTCCTAGCTTATTACTCTCATGTCATAGTGACACACAACACATTTGATTTTTTTTTCCATTAACCTGCTGCTTTTATTCAGACTCATGATAAAATTCTTACAGACTTGTAGACGAAGCAAATCGACTTAGAACAAACCCAAACCCAGGACCTTCTGTGGCTTACTTGTAAGTGCTATATGCAACATTTTGTTTTTTTGTCGTCAAACTCACAAGCAGTCCAGTACCACTGAATATAACGGCCACAGAAACATCACCACAGGAAATAAAACAAAACACCAGCTTTGGTTGACAGTGACGAGAGACCAGGGACCTGTATCACAAAGTGAGATATGTTGGTCAGCTAGATAACTTGTTGGATTTAAGGAACTCTGCTAGATGCAAGTGAACTAAGATACCGTCCATTCATACTGAACTACTGTTAATCCAGCTTAGTAAGCAATTTGGTTTTGTGATACACTTCCCTGGTGACCGATGTTTCTGTGAGTTTACAAACATGTCTTCATGCCTTGCAGTGCTCAGATTGTAAATTGTGTGAAGATGGTTTAACTTGTGTCAGGTTCATTTATTTACACAGATCTACAAAAGGTTTAAATGTATTAATGTATTGACAGACAATGAATATGGTTTACAAAAAAGATGCAAGGTCCAAACTTTGACAAGAAACAACCAAAAGAAACACCAAAATGACAGAAGGAAGGGGAAGAGTAGATGGGGCAATAACAATGCCTAGATTACCCAAGATTCTCCTTTTTTGAAAGTGGGCACAACAGCTCATGATTGGCATCCCGTGTGTCGTTATTCACACTTATCCAGACTTACAAAATATACACGCACACGCACGAAATAGAACATAATGCTTTCATTTGCAAACACAGCACTATCTGATCATATTAAGCAAATGGGCCATTGGGCACCTGGATTCATATTTATGTCATGGGGGGGGGGGTAGGGAAGTCTCAGTTTTGCTCGAAGGCTGTATTGAAGTAAAGTGCATGTCGTGGAGGCTAAAGGAATGAGAAAATGAATGGGGGAAAGACATTAGAAAGACCATCCAGGTCGCAATAACAACAATCATTTCTGCAACGTCAACTTTGATCATTTCCTTTACAGATTCACCGCCTTGTACACCAGGAATTGAAACAGGTTACACCTTAAAATGCAGTCTAGTAAGTCAATTTCCAGACTAATCTCCAAGAATCTCAACACAGAGACCCCTGGATTTCATATTTACATGCTCATTGACTACTACATTTGCACCTATAAATAACTATAGCTATTTAAAAAAAAAAAGGTTGATTCACAGACAAAAAAGCAAACTGAAAACAAACGGTGGGAACATGATGTTATTTTCAATATATGGCATACAGTGCTTCTAAAAAAATGACTGGAGAAACAGAGGGGGTGGGGAGAGAGACAGAGAGAGAGAGACAGAGAGCCTAGAAGAAGCTGGTCTTCAGTTTGATGGTAGGCGCTGCCTGGACGGTGGGTTGGGCCTGCCGGGCCGTGGCCTTGGCCTTGCTGCTCGCCTGATTGGCCCGGACGGCCGTCTCCAGGCGGATCTTCAGCTCCGGGGCGGCTCCGATCACCGTCTTGAAGGCGGTCGGGTACAGGGGGCCGATGCGCATCAGGTCCCGCAAAGCGAACTCGTGCAGACCCTTGGAGGCGGGACTGGCCGAGGAGAAGGCATTCTCGTCCAGTAGGTAGGAGATCAGCGTGGGCACGAGCAGAGCCAGAAGCTGGACACCTTTCATGGGGGGGCGGGGGGAGAGAGAGCGATACACAGGTGAAGTCAGACATCGATGGTCCAGCTCATCAAACACACACAACAGCTCGTTAAAAGTCAACACTCTGACACACCATGGTACCATAGAACACTAGATCAGTGTAAATCAGTGGAACAAGAACAACAAAAAACAGAGCTTCACGCTGGTGCCTAATGTGACCATTCACTGGTGATGCATAAGCCCATTCCACAGAAAAAACTCCTTATGCACGACAGACAGTAGCATGCCTACTCCCAACTCCTCTGCCTGGAGAAACTTATTTCACTGAAGCAAATTTATAGACTCAGTAATTATAGCTTGATGTTATTAAGGACCTTCCCCTTATCACCAAACCTTCATGTAGATCCATTGTCAGGAAACAGAAGAAAATTTAATACTCGGGAAGCTTACAGATTTCAGATAGACTGCATTAATACTTAACAATGTACCATAATTACACAGTAATGTACAACAGTACATGAATATTTTAATAGAGGTCAAATAATATGCATCAATCAAAGCACATAATCCCAATAAGTATATCTACTGTAATTTTCTTATCTAATCATGTTAAGAAAGTTCTAACAGGTCTGTTTCCAAATTCAGGCTTTTCTATTTATTTTCTGAGGCCAGCTTCAGAAAAAAAACTGCAACTGGAAAACCCTTGATTTTAGGAAAATGCATGCTGGGAAAGACAAATGCATGCTGGGAAAGACAAATGCATGCTGGGAAATCTCAGACAAAGATCAAGTAGCACAACCGTCCACAATAACGTGTCAGCTGGGCACAAGAAGCATGACTGGAGCATCCTTATGGAGACACAAACACACCGTGATTCTTCCCCAATCTGGAAAGTGTGATATCAAGAACATCAATGAACTGGGTAAGGGGTATCCTATCTCTGTGTGGAGCAGGACCACAGAGTCACAGCTCTGCTACTAACTAAGTTATGAACCTTCCTTGAGCTGTTTGCTGCTTTTTGTGGAGACAGAACCAAGCTGCACATCACGATTTCAACTTGGTAAACACTGTCACGCCCAAGAATATACAACAGAACCACAAAAGTATATCCCAGATTGTGAGTCAGCGTTCTGCTGTCTAACTTAGCTACCATATTGGATGTTTGGGTCTCTCGGCCGGCATCTTACGGTTCTGCTCTTCGCCCATGGCCACCAGGTTCTCCAGCACCTTGATGCCCTCCTGCACGGCCTGCAGCTCGCCGGCACTGGTGGGCCGGCTCCGCTCCACCGCCTTCAGCTTCTCCACTACGGGCGGCGCCAGCGCGTGGATGTAGGGGGTGGCCAGGGCTCTGCTGGAGTGCTGGAACACGGAGAGCAGCAGCTGGTAGCACCTGGCCTGGACCTGGGGGGTCGGGGGGGGGAGAGAAGGTAAGGGGGATGCAAAGAATGACGATTGGGAGATCTGTGCTGATGTCAGGGTGAACGAAGACACCTTAAAATCACCACAGAAAGTGCCCAAATTTCCAAAAATTAAAATATATACTAAGCACGTGGAGAATAACAGATAATACATCACATTCAGTAGAAGCTCTGCAATGAACACTAAAGACCTGTGTGTGTGTGTGTGTCACGGATGTCCCAGTCCACTTTTCTGGTACCCTGATTCCATCCATTCCGAGTCCCGATCTCTTTTTTTTTTAATAAATATGTAAATATATATACACACATACAGTAGGCGTGGTTGCATCCCATGTCTGAGAAAGCCCTGCAATTTAATGTTATTCTTCCATGTGATGTTTAGATTTCTTGCATTAAACGATACTCCGTTGCTACCTTCTCTCGAAAGGATGGCTTTGCAAACATTGCAGGTAGCTGTTGGGCTACTTTGAGTTTCCGATTTAAAGAATTTCCGCGCGGCTGACACAGTTTGTAGTTCCAAGCCATGCGCCTCAGGATTACTGCAGTGTGACGGAACCTTACAATCGCCACAATTGATGTAAATTGGCTGCAAGTGAGAAATGAAATAGATCGGGCTTTGGTAACCGATACTTATCAATTTAAAAATGCCTGGATCGTCCCGATTCCAATCTTTAGCATTGACATGGGACATCATTGATATCCACCAATCCAACCATTTCTACATTTTTACATTATATGCCTGTTTTGAGACTTAAGAATAAATATTTTTGCAATTTGAAGCTGAAGGAGCCCAAACCTAATGATCTGCATCGTCTGCAGTGAGCCAGTGTGGAGGAACTGCACATCTAGCTATTCTGAGGACTGAGTACTGATCCTACTGGGCCCAGGACCACCCACAGGCTGAGCCACGCAGGAGATGCTGGATTCAGCTCCTTCCGTTGCTGGACACTTCCTTTCAGAGGGTGACGTCCGTCAGCATCCCATCCATTTTTCCCCACTTGAGTGCCAATGCATCCACATGAAGAAAAGCTTCTCTGGGATGAATGGCCTTTTCTCGATCTGTCCGAGTACTTGGTTTTTTTGTGATTTTGTATCCTATGAGCTAGAGATGACGTGGAAGATGCCTCCCCATCTTTCAGGAAATAATCAGAAATCGATGGTGTCTCAGTTCCTATGCAGTGCGCTGTATGAGGCTGCCGGATCGCTGTGCCAGATACACCACACTGGACCAGTGCCCTTTACACAAACTGCCTTTGTCTTAGCCAATTATCTTATAACAGGTAACAGAAATGTCCGCTTTGGTTTGCCGTCTCTCTCACTCACCCACTAAACATGGCAAGTTAAGTCAAATACTTTTTGCATGCTCAAGAGACTCTGGCAAGAAAAAAAAAACAAGTATTCTATAATATACAGCTAGAAAATACTCACAGGAAAGTGTCCCTAAGGGTGATTTACAGCAATTATGACAACATTTAAAACTGCAATAACAATAAATCAGGCAAATATGATTCCTAAGTTGTCCCTATATTCATATAAACATTGCAGAGTCTCACAACCAAAACATGTTGCTGGCTGGGCTGAGGAACAAGTCATGAAGGCTTCTGATCCCCTCCCACACGGGAGGGCGGTGCAGGAATGACATGGTGCAGGACAGAAGGTATGAAGGAATACAGCTCAGCAATGTTGCAGTCCATTACCCAGGGGTCGCTGGAGTTGAGGGCGTTCCGGAAGCGGTCCATACACCCCTTCTGCAAGGACGTGACCCCCACCACCTCTGTGCCAGCCGACAGCAGGAAGAGCGTGACGGCCGTCAGCATGCTGACCTCGTCCATGTTGGGTCTGGACTCGTCTGAGAGGAAGTCCGACAATGTCATTAACACACCCACTTTAAAAAGAAGTGTTTTCAATTGATAACTCAGAGAATTCATCAGTACGTATTTGTTTGAGACGTGGAGCTGGTGTCTGTGCAGCGTGTGTGCGCGTCGGTACCTGGTTGTGAGTACTCCAGCACGGAAGCCAGGCTACTGCGCACCAGGGTGCTCCACTGCTTGTGAATCTTCTCCACTCGTGAAAGCGGAGACGTTATGATAGTCTTGATGCCCTGCAGGGCGGCCGACACGGGCAGCGGCATCACGTTGTCTGCCGTCTTCACCGCCGTCTCCCTCAGGACCCCCGTGATCAAGAAGAGGATTGTGGGTAGGACGGTCATGCTCCCTGGCGAGGCAAAGACAGCAGGCTGAGATGTCCCTTCTGCCTCCTGTGAGCTCACGATCGCTATCGTGTATTTGTGGGTGTATCCATTCCATTTTGGTGGAAAATTCTTCTATAAAAATCACCAATTTAAATAAACAACACGAGCGCCAACAGTTTTGGGTCCAAGCCTTTTATAGTTCTGCTTGGAAGGACGTAGGAATCATACACGGCAAGTCAGAGTCCGTGGAAAGTCCCTACAAGATAAACGGATCTGTGTGTGAGAAATGTGTGCTTTTGTTATTATCACATTGTGGGGACCAGATTTCCCCACAATGTGATAAAAAACCGGAAACTTTTTACCTTGTGGGGACAATTTTTTGGTCTACACAAGGATAACTTCAGTTTTATAAAAATCTGTGAATGTAACCAAAAACTAAAAATGGCAGACGTTTTGTATTTTGTTTGGGTACTTACGGTTAAGGTTAGGGCTGGGTAGGGGTTAAGATTGTCATAGTTGGGATTGGGGTAATGCCCATAGAAATGAATGGCAAGTGCGTGTGTGTGTGTGTGTGTTGCACATCAGCCCCACCTGCTGGCGAGCAGAGGGAGGGCAGCTCAGCCAGTATGGCGATGGTGGCAGCCACAAGACGGGCACTCTCGTCGGGCAGCCGCTGGGTCCTGTGGGCCGGGTGGCTGGGTGAGTCGGCCACACGGGCGTTGAGCTGCGGCAGATGCCGCACCAGGATGAACACCAAGAGCTCCATGGCTGCAAACACCAGGGACTTCCCAGGAAGGAGTTCCCCCGTGTCTCCCCCCTCCCCTAGGGCAGAGGGCTGGTCCTTCTCATCAGATTCCTCTTCACCTGGTAGGGAATGAGGAGAGTGTTGGGCCGGGGGGAGGAGGGCAGATTAATACTGAAAGTTTAAAATAATTAAAGCCTCCACTGAGTCTGACCTATCCCAATGAGGGCATCCTGCATCCTGCGCCAAACAGCCACTCACCTTTGAGCGCCCTCTGCAGGTGGTCCTGGGCAGCGCGGACGGTGTCCTGCACCACGGCTGCCACTTGCAGCTGCAGCGCGGGCGGGTCGCGGGTCAGCAGCAGCCGGTGCAGCACGTTCAGAAGCTCCACCGCCAAAAGCTGCAACCAGAGGAAAAGGGAGTAGGCTGGCTCTCTGCAAACATGGCCCCGCCCCCACTCACACCTCACCCAATCACCCGTCTCCCTTAGAAATGTCTGCTTACAGTTCAGCTCAGCAGTTGTGACTAGCAATTAATCATTTATGACACAGCAGACAAAGTGGAACGGAAAACCAGCAGATGGGCCCTGCAGTTCTGGAGCCCCCCCCCGCCCCCCAGCACATCCCAGAGCCAGAGGGATTCCGGCGTGATTCAGCCGTCATTCTGGCAGGCGTACCTGGTCCTGGCCGATGTGCATTCGTGCGCAGGGTGAGTCCAGCAGCGTGCACAGTGCCTGCAGGCAGGACATGACGTGTTCCAGGGGCTCCTCCGGGCGGGGGAAGCAGAGAAACTCGATGCTGACGCCTGGGGGGGGGGCATTACACTGGACTCAGTCCCTCTCTGGGTTTTTACGCTGCCCCATCCATCCCAATGTTCAATGACTCCCCAGAAAAAGACACCCAGACAGAAATATAACGCAGAAATTCTCTCCTCCTCTCAAGAACCTCAAATTTACCCACATTTCATAAACTAAATCAATCCTCTTGAGATCCGACGAAGAATTTTTTTTAAATATTGATTAACATTTTGATTTGACAAGGGGAGGAAGTTAGCAAGGTCACACCCCCACACATGTGATGTCATCTTAATGCCCTAACTGTCCTTTTTAAGGAACAGTGAGTCTTAATACAGTGGCACATACTGTAAGAGCAAAAGCATAATGTCCTCTACAAATGAATCGCTGGACCTCAGGAGGCGATTCACCTTTAAATGAGAAAATGTATTTTTTGAATATTATGCTTATTTCATGGTGAGCATCACTGTCGCCTCACACTTCCAGGCTTGGGGTCGGAATCCCAGCAGGAGGAGGGTGCTGTACCTAGAAGCAGGTGCATCCTGTCCCTCGCCAGCTCATCCGGGTCCTTAGGGGCGGTGCCGGGGGCCCGGGGGGGCTCGTCAGCTACGTCTCCGGCCCCGAATCCCGCGTGGCTGAGCCAGAGTGCCGCGGCGTGCAGGATGGGCGCCCAGGAGCTGCGGTAGTGGAGCCGGGCGGAGTCGATCGTCTCGGGGGTGTAGAAGGCCCCTCCTGTGGGTGTAGGGGCGGGGAGACACGGAGGGCTGGGGTGAGGGGGCGGGGCCAACCTGGGACCCGCTTGGAACGGGATCACAGCCTGGCAGGGATGCGTACCGTCAGGGGGCAGCTGGCTGGCAAACTCAGCGGGCAGCGTGAGCAGGGCGTAGTCGCGCAGTGCCGCCAGCCAGAGACGGCTGAGCGCGGGCAGCTCCGGCTGCACCAGCGTGATCAGGCTGTCCGGCGGCAGCACGTCCGACGCCCCCCCAAGGTCCTCCTCCTCCTCCTCGTCCGCACCCGCTCGCGCCGGCTCCGCCGGCTGGTTCTCCGCTTTCTTCTTGATCTCCATGGCGACCACGTAGACCTGAGGGCGCCGGATCGGAAAGCGGGCATCAGTAACGAGCGCGCAGCTGAGCGGAGGGAGGATCACGTGACAGGAAGGCAGGTAGATGGCCGGACCTCAGCCCAAGCCTTGAGGACGGCCAGTTTCTCCATGGTGGTGGCGCTCTCGCTGTACAGCTGGGTGGACGAGCTCTTCCCGGCCTGCACTTTGTCCAGGGAGGACACCAGGAGGTTGTGGACCCGCCGCAGGTCGTTGAGGTCGCTGACCACGCCGCTGCCGATCCAGGTGCTGCACACCTAGCAACACCACGGGACGCCAGTCTCCTTAGCAACAGCGGTGGAGCCTCAGACTTAGGCGTACGATAGTCAGCGTCTCTTGTGCCTCAAGTTACCTGGCAGGCCTTGGCTGTGATGTCAGAGGGGGTGTCGGGTGAGAAGGCAGGACGCAGGGCTGCCCCAACCTGCAGGGGGGGGGGGGGGGGGGGGGGGGGGGGGTAAATGGTGCTGTGAGTGACATCACATTGGGCCAGGACTCTTATGGGATTTTCTCCTGGTCACCCTTGATGGCAGCCGGCGGCATCCCATAATCCCAGGAGCAACTCTAATTTTCCCTGTGATATTCCCAGTGTCTCATGTACTCACTGCTGACTGAGACATTTCCATAATAATATGAAAAATTACAATTTACTGACAATTACAGACTAATTCCCAAGATAGAGCCCCGCCCCCTGCTCCCATCAGCCTCGACCAATCAGAGGCTGCGAGGGGCTGGACAGACTCACGTTGGCCTGGTACTGCTCTAGGATGACGTGGCCGGGGAACTCGGGCTCGGGCACGGAGGCGAACTTCTTGATGATGTCCTCCAGCGCCTGCAGCCCAGCCATGCGCAGCTGGTGGCTGTGGTCCGTGGCGGCCATGAAGGCCATGCGGATCAGGTCCGATAGATGCAGGACCAGCAGGTCACCTGGCACGGACGGAGAATGTCACCCAAGAAATGACTTACTATAAACCCAAAAATAAGTGCATTAGTGGCTGATTATATGAAAACACAGAGTGCGAGTGTTAGTGGCAGAAATTAAGTGACTTATGGTGTAACAAACTTTCCCCCGAGTACTTTGAAGCTAATCAGCAGTGACTGGCTGTCTAGCTGCTGCGGGTTTGAGAACCTCAGTCCTTCCTTCTCTGCAGATAACAGGCAAACTAAGTCACTTCTCTGCTCATTCACACTTACTTCCTTAAGGCCTGTGGTTGCCTAAACCACACCCCCCCCCCACCCTGTGCCTAATGACTCAGAGTCAGCCTGTATAGACTGGGATGATAATGAGGAACTCTGTCTCAAGAGGGGAGGGAAAAAAAAGGGCTTTTCTGTAATTTATGAATCATTTTAAAGTGACTTCGGCACGACATTGCGAATTTTGGAGCCTGTAAGTTTAGCACAGGAAGGCCCACACAGGCCCAAACAAAGGTGAGAGACCATAACAGAACCACACCAGAGACCCGATGGGCCAGAGTACACACTGGACAAGTACCTTTGGGGTTCTTGGCCTTGGCGGAGCGAGCGGTGGCGAGGTCGAAGTGCGCCCTGTCCACATTCTCACAGAGCAGTATGATGCGGCACAGGCAGTCGGCCGCAAACACCCGAGTCACCCACCGGGGGGCAACGGAGGGCTTGTTCTTGTCGTCCTCGCCCAGGGTGGTGAACATGGTGTCATCATCCATCTCGTCTTTCTTCTCCGAGTCTTCCTCTTCCTTGCCCAGCTCTGGTGCCACAGCCCCGCCCACCTCTGCCATTAAAAAAAAAATATATATACATAAACAGATATCAGAATTATATCAGGCACATGATGTCACCAGGACAAGGAGGAAGCTTATCAGTCTTTGCAATACACCACAGAAAGAGCTGAAGTTTAAGAGAGACTGAATCAAACTTTATTCTCCCTGGTAAATCACAAGTGGAGACACACTGGAGCCCCTTAAGAGCAAGTCCGCTACCTGTAGTGGCAGCCAACACGTCCTTGCACAGCTTGAGCCAGTGGGACAGCTTCTCCACAGCCAGCGAGGATAGCATGTGGCCGAGGGTGTCGTGGATGTCGGAGCAGAGCTTCCTGTCCGTCTCGCGGTCCAGCATGCCGAACAGCACGCCCTCCAGGCCCGTCTCGGTGATGTTCAGGTCTGAGAGAGAGTGAGGCATGAAGCCTGGGTGTCCAAATACCGCACGTCCTTCAAGTCCGTGACAAATCCATTCACCCTCTTACAGCGACGGCTATAAAGATCAACCCCACGCACAGGTAAATGTGGAAGGAGAATCCGCACCTTTTAACGACTGCTTTTCAATGTACGACGGCGACGTACTGATGGTGGCGCTGTCCTTGGCGTCACCCGCCTTCCTGGCTAGGCTGGTGGCGTACTCGCACACCTCGGCCGCCTCTCGCTGGGCGAGCTGCCGGAGGCACGCCACTGCCGCACGCCGCAAGAGCAAGTGGGAGCTGCACAGGTGCACCTGGGGGGGTGGGGGGGGCAAACGGAACCTACGTTTCACTACAGGTTCCAGTCACGAGCCCATGTGCACTGATTAGGGGAGGAGCAAAAATATTGGGGGGTGTGGCCAAATAGAATGGGTGTGGTTATGCTTTGTTAGGGGTGGAGCCAGATAGGGATTAGTATGGCTGGAAAGGGGTTGGGGTATAGATAGAAGTAAGCATGTAATATTTCAGTGGGACAGTATTACAAGGAGAAGGAACGGGCACAGGCAGGACAGAGCGCAGGGTTAGGCTTAGGGTTAGGCTTAGGGTTAGGTTTAGGGTTAGGTTTAGGGTTAGGGTTAGGCTGGGGCTCTAGGTCTTACGCAGAGGCAGGGCACCAGGCTGGACAGGTTGACGTGGCGAGGGGCGAACATGTGCAGCTGCTGCAGGCAGGAGATGGCGGCGGCCTGCACCAGCGAGTCCGAGTGGTCCTGCATGATGGCGCAGCCCACCAGGCAGGAAGAGCGGATGGTAGAGATGGTCGCGCTGTTGCCTGTCGACGGACATATGGGACGCGTCATTCTGTCAGCGCGGTCTTAGTCTCTCAGTACGGGCAACAACGTAACACACAGCAGCCCTTAAGTCGACCCATTAACATAGACCTGCACGAAAACGACAGGTGCTGCTGACTCTCTCTTTACTGCAACCCTTTCACACTTAGGTAAAAGCACTAAGTCTGACATATGGGGAATCATTGTAACCCTTTGTGACTATTAGTCTTATACTGCCCCCTTGTGGTATGGCAATCTATTTGCAAAAAAAGCAACATCACAAACTATCAGTGGTGCAACTTGTCTGAGGCCTCATAATATTTTCTATACTTATTTTAGCAATTGCAGAACCATTACCGCACATTTATATCTATGTTTAATCATGTGGGCTTGATAATTAGCACCTACAGTAATCGTTACATTTTGACTTAATGTGTCAGGGATGCGTTCCCCTTTTTTTACATAAACCACAGAAATCGTCATATCAGATTTACGTTCATTCCTGTTGAGCAGGGGGAGGGCAGGTCGGCCTGATCTTCTTGGTTAACAAAGCTGTAGTGTTTAGACCTGAGGACAGGTTTTTCCATACGGTTACCGACCACAACCACCGACTAACCACAGGTGATGGCACCATCGGAAACAAGTCAAAGCAACTAATACTGACATGGTGACGGAGTGCAGGGACGTGTGGTGGAGTCATTACAGCATTACTATGGTAAATGGTAAATTACCATGTTTCAACACGATGCCGAATTCTGATGGATACTTTGAGAAAAATGCAGTTTTTACCACAGACACAGCACTTAGAAATGTAGCCTAGATAGCTTTTTCTGTCTCAGTCAGCATCCTGCCACGGACGCGGGATCGGTCGGCGATCCCTGGTGCTGGATGCCGTGTGGGAGGGGGCTCACCCTGCAGCTCGGGCCCCACGGTGGTGATGAGCGCCCCCAGGCAGCGGCCCAGGCACTGGTGCACCTCCGTGTGCGAGGGGGGCACGGTGAGCAGCAGCGTCAGCACCAGCGACAGGGTGGGCTCCACGTAGCCGCGGTACATGGGCCCGCTGGAGTCCACGATGAGGGCCAGCGAGTGCAGGGCCCACGTCTGCGGGGACAGCGGCGCGCGGGTCGGGTCACATGATGGGGGGGGGGGGTTCACGGGGACTGCAGGCTTCCGTCTATATACCTTACCGGGCTACAGTTTTACTTTCACTTTATTAAATGACCATCGCTGGTCAGACGCTGCCGAAACCGGACCCGGCCCCCTCACCTGGACCTCGTGCGACGTGCCGTCCTGGGCCAGGGCCAGCAGGATGCTGACGCTGGTCTTCAGGTGCTGACCCGATCCGATGCCGCCCACGTAGCGATGCAGGCAGCCCAGGGCCAGGGAGTGGCCGGTTCTGGACACCACGTCCCGCGCCGATTTCAGCCTTGAGGATGGGGGGGGGGGGATGGGGGTGATTAGCTAATTAATGGGCTATTTATAGAGAGCTGGGGAGGGCGGAGTCAGACGTGGGGCGTTACTTGTCGAAGCTGTGCTGAGCCATCCTGGCGATGAAGGTGGCCTCGCCCACCACCTGGGCCATGCGGCCCAGCGCCTCCCCCGCCGCACAGCGCAGGATGGGGTTGGGGTTGTCCAGTGCGCCCATCACCAGTGCCAGGGCCGAGCGCCGCACCTCCTCTGGGCCCAGGCTGCTCTTGTTCTCCGCCAGGCCCTGGGAGAATGGAGGCATGCAGGGAATGACAGTTAAGGGCGGTCCCAGCTTCTATAGGCACCCAGGTACATGAGGGGAGAGCAGCGAAGCCAGGGGGCGGGGACTCACCTTGAGCGCGCTCAGCACCGCGGTGAAGATGTTCAGCTGGACGGCCTGCTGCCGCACTCCCTTAGCCTGCTTGATGCATTCGGCAAAGTGGTCCAGCATCTGGAGCCTGTCTCACGCACACAGGGGGCACAAGGAGCCCGAAAGGCCATCAGGGGCACCGCGATGATCGGAGAGTGACCTATAAACTTCCGGTTCCAGGTCCCTCACAGATCTGCCACACGCTCACAGGCCTGGCAGATATCTGTGACCCTGCCGAGTCAAAGCCATGGTGCTCACCTGTGCTTGAAGGAGACATGGGGGAAGACCACCCCGAAGAGTGCTACGGAGGCGTCGATGACAGACACGCCCAACGGCAGCGGGCCTGGGATGGCCTCCCCCACAGGGACGCGCAGGTAGATGGAGGAGGGGTCATGCTCCAGGGCCCCACTCCCCGACGCGCTGTTGGGCTGCAGCTGAAGGGGACATAAGCATAAAAGAGCAAGTCAGCCATTATAATCCTCAGTAACAGACCCAAAATGCACGCCTCTACCGTCTAACCCCGCCCATTTGCCATGGCCACACCCCTCCCCAAGTCACCTGGTCCTCGATGGACTTATGGTCAGTCTCCTGCAGCCAGGAGCCCATCAGCACACTGTCGTCATAGTGACAGAGGGAGCGCAGCAGGGAGGTGGTGGTGTTGGCCGAGTTGTCCGTCAGGGTGAACTCAGCCACCAGCTCCCTCAGCAGGGCGTTGAAGTTGCCTACATGTTGGGGGGAGGGAGGATAAACATCCACTGTCATGTGACCCGGAAGAGGCCTTCCCAGCATGCCCCGGGGGTAAAATGTCTCCTACCTTCATAAGTCTTGGGGGGCAGAAGGGCCAAGATGTCATAGAGCCTCAGCCTCACCATGGCGGCACTGGCCTTCAAATGAGCTCCATGCACCTTGATTACCGACGGGACACTGGAAACCAGAAGAGAGCCAGGGGTAAGGACACCCCACCAGGAAAGGGATTACAGAACCGCTTCATGGACTAAATGCTTAAGGTTTTTCCTATTGGCTCCATCAAGTCACATGACCCCCCCCCCCCCAGAGCGCACATACTCACTGTGACATCATGGTCATAGCACACTCGATGGGCATCATCAGCCTGCGAATCACGTCCTCTGTCAGGAGCTCGGGGCAGTGAGCCACAAAACTGCGCATAGCTGGTTGGTTAGGGAGGGAGAGGTCAAAGGTCATCGTTGTGCTCCCAGCCAATTTAGTTCAAAATTTTTGTGACAGCATCAAAAATTAATTGTAGCTGCCCACGGTGTTTCATATTTCAGAAAATAACTGAATTACATTTATTTCATGTCTAATTTAAAGATCAATTGACAATTCAGAGCCAAAGTACAGATTCCCTGCGGCTCTACGGGACCGAAATCGGATCTGAACACCGTACTGCAGACTGGTCAGGAGTCGGACCGACAGCTCACCGCAGAGTGCTCCCGCACGACCCTCCAGGGTCACCTGCCAAGTGAAGGGGTCGCCCCGGGCCTTCTCCGCCTCGAGCTCCTTCTGCGAGCGTGGGAAGACGTTCCTCCAGAGGAGCAGCATCTTGGGCAGGTGGTACCGGACCACGGAGGGGCCTGAGGCACAGGCAGGGAGACACAGATAGAGAGACACAGGCAGAGAGACACAGGCAGGGAGACACAGGCAGAGAGACACAGGCAGAGAGACACAGGCAGGGAGACACAGGCAGGGAGACACAGGCAGGGAGACACAGATAGAGAGACACAGGCAGGGAGACATAGGCAGGGAGACACAGATAGAGAGACACAGGCAGGGAGACACAGGCAGGGAGACACAGATGGAGAGACACAGGCAGGGAGACACAGATGGAGAGACACAGGCAGGGAGACACAGATAGAGAGACACAGGCAGGGAGATACAGGCAGGGAGACACAGATAGAGAGACACAGGCAGGGAGACACAGATAGAGAGACACAGGCAGGGAGACACAGATAGAGAGACACAGGCAGGGAGACACAGGCAGGGAGACACAGATAGAGAGACACAGATCTCAGTGAGAGACGCTGTACTCCTGAGCTCCAAGAAAATCTGAGTAGCTGCTCTGCAAGTACTTTTAGATGACAGAAATGGCAAACATGGAGGTGGATTCATCACCTATTATGTTGAAACATCCAGAATATCCAGCTATCTAAATGGGTAGGACTACATGTAACTTCAGGAAGTAGAGGAAGAAGGTACAGGGCTGCAAATCCCAGGAAGGGAATTGCTCTTGTACCCTTGAACAGGAGGCTCACCGAGCGTCATGAGGGCCCCCAGGAGCAGCCAGCCGGCTTGCGTGCGCTGCAGCGAGAGTCGGCTGTTCTGGGCCGCCGTGCGCAGCAGGTCCTCCGCGATGCTCACCACCATCTGGGGGGGGAATCTGAATCAGCCAACAGCTCGGCTCAAGGAAGAAGAGACTTTTAAGAGGAAATTAGGAATTAGTACTGGCTGAGTTGGTAATTAGTACTGGCTGAGTTGGTAATTAGTACTGGCTGAGTCAGAGACAGGGTTAAGTAATGGTCATTGAAGACTTGTTAATTACAGTTGTCAGTAACAGGTGCCAGTGATGCTGATGGTCACCAGTGATTGTTATCAGCAATGCTGACAGGGCCAGCTGTCAGAGCCCGGCAGTGCGCTGCCCACCTTGCCCTTGGCATGGGGGATGCCCAGGGGACACTGGTGCACGCCCCCCAGCAGGGCGGCCATGGCGAAGCTGTAGCCGCTCACGGCCTCCGGCGACGTCTTCAGGCTGTTGATGCGCTCGGCACAGCGCTCCAGCAGCGGCGTCAGCTGGTACGGCAGTGCCACGGCAACGCAGCGCAGGCACCAGGCCGCGGCCAGGCGGGCCGCCATGCTGGGGTGGAGCAGCACTGACGTCACTGTCTCCAGGAGGCCTGCCCGGGTGAAATGACCCGAGGGGACGACGTCACGGGAGGGAGCAACTGCAAAATCTCACTGGGTGCCTCAATAATAGCTAATGAACCCCTGAATATCAGCCCATCACAAATGCATCCTCTCTAGAAGGTCAAAGGTTAATAAGGGTCTTTGGCCAACAATAAAGAAATGGTTGGATCTTGAGCATAGATTCACCGATAAATACAGCAAAAGAATGAATACACCCCCCTTCGTTTTCAGAGTGGGCGGGGTTAAAACTGGCCCCACCCCCCCCCAGGTGGGCGTGTCCGTGAGCCTACCGATGGACGGCTCCTGGATGAGCGGGGAGGCGGTGGCGCTCAGGCTCTGCACCAGGCTGCCCAGCTCCTTCAGGGCGCACACCATCACGTGCTGGCTGGCCGACACGTCTGCAGAGCCCGTCCGGCTCTCCCCGCTGCTGTCGTTCACTACAGCCTCTGTAGGGGGCGACACGGGAGAGAAGGAACAGGGCAGCCTTGAGTGTCCGTCATCCATTAACCCAGCCTGCTGTCACTAACCAGTCTAGGTTCAGCTATGTCAGACTTCCACCCGAGCTGACGGTGATTATTTTACGCCAGATTTAAACTGGTTTATCTCCACTCAAGCAGCACCCACCACACACTGCAGATACATGCACTGATATCACTGCCTACCTATAAGCTACTGGATTAAGTTCTTTTACTTGCATACAAGGCACTCAAAGGTAAAGCACCTGCCAGTGTAACACAACTGATAGATGTTTAAAGCTGCATTTTACGCTCAGATCACAGAACATAGGTTTCCTTGTTATCTCACATATGAAAAAAATAACTTGGTGCTGAAGCCTTTAGGTAGATTATGGGACAGCCTGCCAGTTCATGTACAGGACACTGAATCTCAGTTTTTACATCTCAGCCGAAGATCTATTACTTTAGTCTTGCTCACCCACACCTTAAAACTCAGTGGAGAACTGGCTCACTGATGGACTTTGATCCCGACCACAGTTTGCACCTTGCTTCTATGGAAGCATGATCATCCTCTTTGGTTTCTATACTGCTAGCATTTCCAGAGAGCAACCAGCCCACCTTGGAGAGCCAGAGGGGGTTTTTCTCCTTACTAGAGAGCTTTTGGTTCTTCTCCTCCGTTGTCTTCTGGGATTCTTTCCCTCTTCCCTTTCTCCCTGTATCATGAACCATTCAGTAACAGATGAACTAACAATGGATTGCCACACACTCTCGTCAAGTGCCTTGGGGCAGCTGTGTTGTGAAAGGCGCTATATAAAAATAGGGCGAATTATAGGATTCGTTTTTAAGGTGAGGCACATTAGAGGGGCCAAACTTATCATTAGATAATGATGTTTTTAGTCAGTGACTGAGAGGGGAAGGGACACTAAGGCCCAATCAGCTTTCAGCTGGGGCCAGTGCCCCTGTGGCTCCACCCCTAGATACGACCCTGGATACAGGAGAACATCGCAGGCTGCAGATTTTCTGGAGCCTTTCAACACAGCGTCACATTTCTCTACTCTATAATCCCAATTATGACTGCAGGAGTTTTTAAACATCGTTTTTCACATGTAGTTAAACCAGTAAAAAAAAAAAGCCCCACGGTACTGAGACCAGTGAGGAAGAGGGGTACAGCGCAGGCAGTGGCCTGACACGCATTCCAGTTTGCTGAATCTGCACACTGGCTTGCGCAGAGGGCTTGGAAAACGGTTCTTAAACTATCTCAGCGGCATAGGGGGAGGAGGATGACTTCCTGATGACGGCCATACCATGACCGGGTAAACGTACCCCCATCTACGCTCACTATGACCGGATTAAGATATGGCAGTTGCCACTGACACCTCGTTCTACACACGGGTGAGCAGCGAGGCCCATGTACATAAATGAGCAGCTAACAGGAAGT